TGATGGCAGGGGTCTGGTTTGGGCTTAAGTGAGAATATACATATTGAAAAAGACCCAAACATGTACAATGCTGAAGTAAATTTTTTTCCTAAACCCACTACCTCCTAGAAACAGTCTCACCTCAGTTGTTGGGTAGATGACTCTGTCCTCTATGTACAAACCTATATGCATGGCGCTGCCATGATAGGAGGGCTGATTAAGTGGCAGCTGACAATAACAATGACATGAGGATAACAGAGCCTGTTTAGGGAAGGATTGAAAGAGGTCATGCTTGCCAAATGTCTACTCCCCAGCACACAGAAAGCCCTCAATGATATCTGAGACTCTGGGAGCAGACGAGGAGCCCTGGTGGCATAGTGGACGTGTGTTGGGCTAGTCACTGTGAGGTTAGCAGTTCATAACTACCAGCTGCTACGTGGGAGAAAGATGAGGCTTTCCACTCCCATAGAGTTATAGTCTCAAGCCCACAGGAGCAGTTCCCATCCTGCCCTATCGTGTCACCAGGAGCCAGAATCCACTGAATGGCAATGAGTGTGGTTTTGAGTTTCTGTACAAACTAACATAAATAAATTCTTACCATATCATTAAATAATCAGATCACAGGCTACATAACTAAAAAAATTTTACATATACATCAACATTTATGTCAAATAAGTTCCTAAAAGTAGAATTTCTGAAGCAAGGATAATGAGTCTTTAAAATTTTAAATACTGGCAAACTCCTGGGCTATTCCTTTAAGATCGCTGTACCAACTTACTTTTGGTTCTGACTTGAAATAATTTTATGGTGCATTTATATTTATTATACTATTTCAACGTCCCGGAGGCTTTCCTAGTGGCGTCAAGATGGCCATATTTTATTAAATCTGTGATATCACTGATATAAAACATCGCCTGATTGCAGATATGCTAGAATGTGAAAAGTCTCCTTTTTATATCACATGAAATATGGTTCTTTGCAGTCCTGGAAAATGACTGCCTGCCTGCATACACCGACAGAAAAAACATTGTCTGAATAACAGGGCGCTTGAGACTATCAAATCAAAGCTCCCACATCGTCATTAAAAATAGCACCACGATTCCAAAAGCAACTTGCATGTGATTATAAAACAGGTGATAGCAAATTTGCCCAAATCAGGGGACTGTTCCCATTTATAAAACTTTTCAAGGATTAATTAGCAGAGCCTGGTCTTACCCTGTCCTAAGGATTCATAGCATCAAATCACTGAACAAGCTAGTGCACCTGCAGTTGCAAAACTAGCAAGAGAAACTATGGCCGGTCATCCAGCCCTGTCAAAAGGGGAATTTTCACAGGGATTCTGGGAGCAAAGCCTCTTTATCTGCTGAGAGCTGGCAGGTCTCTTCACTGGACCGCACTCATTCACAGCAGCATGCCATTCTCGATCGATCGTGGATAAAGAAGTCACATCCCAGGGCTGGTCCCCGACACAGCGGTCTTCGGACAGAAGCACGTGGAAGCTGGGTATCATTTCCCGGCATTAATGTTGGAGCTGAATAAATGATACAAATGATACCCGACTCCTTTTTGCTTTGTTTTTGTTACTCTGTTGAAGGTGGCTAACTTCTTGAGAGAGAACACCAGGGTAGTTGTCAAAGTGATCTTCGACTGATCACTTTCCAACGTGGGCACTCCCCCGTGTATTTTCCAAACCTCTGACCGTGACACCCGGGAGCAGAAGGGAGCACCCTGCCTCAATGTGCAGGAACAGGAGGGACGGAGTAATAATGTATGTGACGTTTCTCCTGGCTGAGCCTAGAGAATAGAATCAGGTCAGATATTCTAAACTGAATAAATACAAGCACTTCATATTTCTGCCTAAGCTTGAAACATTAATTCCATTTAGATTTGATTATGATCCCTTGAAATGCCCTGGGTGTTCATAAACCTCTGTGAACTAAGAGAATTAGGATTTTCTAGTCATGCTCCCTGGCATCAATATTCAATCCTTCCTGTGTATCAATCATTTTATTCTTAATGTCTGCAATTTTCTCTAAAAACAAGCTATTTTTGCAGGCAACAAGTAAGTGTACCCTGTTTCCAAAGACTGCAGTGGCAAAGCGGAAGTATAGCTTCCTTCGACCCCTGCAATGGATCTGTTTCCCTTCGGTGGCTACAGATGGTTTCCTCTTACTCTGAGAAGCCAGAATCTGGAGACTCTCCATTTCCACACGTGTGTGCTTTCCTTGACAATGCAGTTGAATTCCGAATCCACTGGAAAACCGAATTCTCAACTAAAATCCACACTTCGGTGCCTTTTTCATTTCTCCCCCTCTTGACAGTATTGCCATATACTCTCCTAGCTTTCGGTATGTCTAGGTTTTTAAAAATAACTTTTCTTCCCTGGTTCACTTCTCATTACTAGCTGATGGGGGAGAGCAGTAAGACAAGTGTCTAAAACTCGACTATTACACCTTCTTCCGTCCTTCTGTCCCCAGCCAAAGTCTCCACCGTTGGCTAACCAGTAGCTAATGCACAACCTGCACGCTGATGTTTAGAGTCATCTGACAAACTTGGTGGAAGACAGTGGGGTCCGGAGATGGGGTTTAGCCTGCGAAAGTCCAAAGTTTACACTATGGAGTGAGCTCACTGCGGTTTTTCTGCAGGTGCACAGTTTGGTCCCGGGATGCAGAAAATCATCTTTGTGTCCCTTACTAATAACTCTTTTATTGTACTCTGTAACCATTCACAAACAAGAGGAAACAAAACAAAACTCCTAGAAGGCCAAGGAGGTAAGATGGAGAGGCAAACACGATTCTAGTTAAAGCCTGCTGCTGATGAAATGAACGGTTCCTCAGCTTCAAAAGCAACTGGTGCCCAGGAAATCAGGTGGTTGGCAAGAAGGAGGAGCTCCTGATAAGCTTTTAGATAAGCCCCTCTCGCCTCCATTCTTTCACCGCTCTTTTCATCGTTCCCTTCTTCGGCGACATCAATTCAGCTCCTCAGACCCTGTGTCGGGGCGCAGGGTGCAGGTTGGTCCAGCGCACAGGTTGCAGTGCCAGCACGAGCCGCTGGAATGAAAACATGCTGAAAACCCAGCAGGAGCACTGAGGGCCCCGGATAGTATATTCAAGATTTGGGCTCTGGTCACCTTTCTAGGTCTTTTGGGCCCTGGTAGTGCTGTGTGATGACAGGCCAAGGGTTGCAGGAAGGTGGTAGGTGCTCAAACCTATGAGTCACCATGTGGGAGAAAGATGAGGCGCTCTGCTCGCGCACAGGTTTTCAGTCACAGAAACGCTACCAGGTCGCTACAGTCTGCATCAACTCGGCGGTGTCCGACCTGGCTCAAAACTCCCGTCTGTCATCACTTGGCTCACAAGTCCTGTTCTCTAAGTCTTCTCAACAGATCACTCAAGACTAACCAGGTTGGGCACAGAAGAAAATTCTGATGTGGTTTCCAGTTTGTTTTGCTTTGCTTGGGGGGAGGGAACATGACGGGGGACTGACCACTTCGCAGCTGTTCCTGTCAGTGAATGACAACACTTATCTGTGAAACCAGCCAACACAATGTGGAGGCAGCTCTGCCCCTGTGTATGGTCCCTGTTTTCTCTAGAGCGGTTTCTACAAGAAGGTGGTATTTGTCTGTTTGTCACCTCAAGAAAAGGTTACCGTAACCCTGGCTGGTGCAAGGAAGGCAAACATCTGAAGAAACTAAAAGAGTAGCCATCGAGGACTGAATTGTGTTTGCCTACCACTTATCCCTTACCCCCACCCCAACCCCACCACCACACAAAAAAAAGGTGCCATTTTGGCTGGGCCATGATTCTCAGTGATTTGGCAGCTATCTAGTGATGTAATGTTCAACGATGATGTGGTCAGCCCATCAGTTATAAGAGGATTAGGATGGGCTACCACACCCTTAAATAGGATATAGTAAAGGGTGTGGCTGGGTCACCTTTCATCTGATAAGACATGAAAGGAGAGTGAAGTCAACAGACACAAGGGACTTGACCACCATCAAGGAAGGAGAACTTGGGATCCTTGTGCTGAGAACCTCCTAGGCCCAGGGGAAGACGAATGTCAAGCTATAACAGGGTTCTCCAAGGAACAACAGGTCCAGTGACGTTGACAGAAGACAAGGACCTTCCCCCAGAGTTAACAGAAAGAGGCAGTAAGTCTGTCTTAGAGATAGCACCCTGAATTTGGACTTCTAGTCTTCGAAACTGAGAGAATAAATGTGCTTGTTAAAGCCATCCATTTGCGGTACCTTTTAGAGCAGCACTAGATAACTGAGACACTTTCCCAGTCTGTCTTTTGACTGTATCGGGCCACTTCTTAAAACATTAAGTGTGCTTCAGCGGCCACTCTGAGTTCAAGGCACGGGAGATGATCCTGGAAATCCCTCGTGACGTCACTTTTCCTCCTCAAGGTCTATGGTTTGTTTCTCTGCTCCACAGAGTGGGGCGCCTGGCACAAGTAGCCAGGGGGCCCCGTCACAGTGTGAGCAGGAGCCTGGTGCCAGCATGCCTTGCCTTTTCCCTTCCTGTGGGTACTTTCTGGGTCAGAAGAAAGTAAGTTTGAAAGTTTACTAGTTTGAAATTTCGTGCTGAGTTTTTGTTCCAGCTCCACCAGTTAAGAGACTGGCAAATCAACAGCTTGGCAAACACAAAACCATCTTTTCTTCCAAAGGTCCACTGAGCTCTCCCACGACCGGCCTACCTGACCCCAACTTCCCACCTTTTCATTTACTCACATTCCCTGTCTACTTGCCTGCCTCTCCCTCTAACACCTTCAAATTCCCTTACAGAAGAAATCGACTCCTTTGCTGATCGGCCCCCCACCCCTCACAAAATGGGTCTCCAGGGCACCTGACATAAAGTGGGTATTCAACGGATGAACCACTGGGTGAATGAATGAAGACCTGTCGGTGCTTCCAGGGAAAACCAAACCAAGCATCAGAAAGAAGCTTGCGGGGCGCCCCGATCACGCAGACTGTCGGTGTGCAAACCATTCCACTGACCCTCCCGCCAGTTCCTCCTCACCTGATCGGTATCGTTCATCCCTGGCTCCCCCAGATCGGGTTCGGTGGTACTTAGAAGGAGCGGAAGTTTGAGCTGCAGCTGGAGCAGGTGTCTGGTTCCTGTGTTCTTTCTGTACTGCTGAATCTGTTTCTACAAAAAGGAAGTTTGAAAGATGATTATCCGGTCACAGAAATGGCTCCCACTTCCGGAGTACCTCAGAGCACTCTCAGCACCTTGGAGACAGGTACTGTTGATCTCACAGAGGGTGGGGGGCTGTGCTTCCTGCTGCTGCTGAGCCGGTTTACTGATCTGCTCCACAGATGGTCTAACTCAGCGGTTTAAACAGATTAAAGAGCTGTGCAGTCATCCCCACAATCAATTTTAGATCACGGTCTTCATTCTTGTAGGATGCGCTTCCCATTTCCCCCAAATGTCACCTTGTCTAACCCTAAGGATCTATTATTCATCGAGTTACTGCCACGACAGATTTACCTATCCTGGATGTCAGGTAAAGACAATCAGACCCAAAATCCCATCCGCAGGTGTACCACCAGGCTGATTCCAACTCACAGCAACCCTGTAAGGCAAAGCAGATCTGCCCTGGGAGGTTTTTAGGTCGTAACCTTTAAGCAAAAGGATCACTGGGTTTTTTTCTCCCACAGAATTAACTGTTGGTAGATTTGAATCATTGATCTTTTAGCTAGCAGCCAAGTGCCTGACCAATGTACCATCAGGGCTCTTTAGTGAACAGTTAGAGAACCTTAATACACAAATACATTAAAATGAAGCAAAGACAGCTAGGAGGATAGGAGAAAAG